GGATTATTATTATTATTTATAGGACCAATATAAGAGATACAATTTGTAAACAAAGTTTCTGCAAATATCCATAACTAAAGTAACTACTTGAACCAATAAAATAATCTAATTACCATTTCGCACTCTAAGTTTAATAAAATGTTAATCCATAATTGCATGAAGTAATTATTTAGCCAGTATAAATTATCTGCTTGTGAAAAGATAAATTGTTTCAGAAAAATGTTAATTCTCAATTAATAATCAACATTTGATTACATAATAAACATTAAACATTTATTGAGAAACTACTTTAAAGATGTTTGGCATTTTAAACCTGAATGATACTTTATATGGCATTGGTTTAAACGGGTAGATTGGAGAATTTCAAGGTTTAGGTTTCAGCTATACCTATTTATAACTGGTGATTAGAGGGAGTGCAACCAGTCAGCAGCACCCATTGCCTACACAACTATTTCTAATCGAATAGTGGAATTGATTGTGAAAGCTATAATTCTCCACATGGCTGAAAGTGATGAGTAGGTTTTAGTGGCAGCTTGAACCTTTGACTTTTTTATTTCAATCCATAGCCCAGTTTCTGACCAGTAGATGATGTTTTTTCGTTGATATTACTTTAAAGAAACATTAGCTCACGAGATGGAAAATAGAACTATGTTATTTATATAATCATAGTGAAAAATTGTTGAAGTATAACTCGTTACAGATTTTGGAGTGACTGGCATCTAAAAAGCCCAAAGTACATTTATTTTAAATCATTGTTTTATGCCTTCAAACAGTATCTTGAATTTTTGATAACTGAAAAAAAAAATCATATTTTATTGACTTTAATCATATATTTAATTCAAATGCATTTGTTCACAAAGTTTATGTCCCCCCAGTGGCACAGCGGCATGTCTGTGGACTTATACAGCTAGAAATTTGGTTTCAATATCCGTGGTGGGCAGAGCACAGATAGTCCTTAGTGTAGCTTTGTGCTTAATAGCAACCAACAACAACACAAATTTTATTCAGCAAGTTCTCTAAGACATAAAAGATATACATATGATTTGTTGCACAGAGTTTAACAGTGTGGCATGCGGGTGTTTCCTACCCTCTTATTTGATATGTAATTTTTGTCAACACTTCGTGTATATTGAGCATTTTAATCTTAATATAGAATGCTAGCCAATGTAGCCACTAAGATTCTCTCACTCCCTAGCTACTCATGAAAATAAGTCAATTGATTTGGGTGTCACACATATATATTTTCTCGTGTGAATGATTGCTGAACATTGACCACACCGTATAAAAATAACCATTATCTTTTCCACTAACAAGTTGGGTGATGCCTATTGAATATAAAATTATTTATTTTAAATTGTGAGCGCGATTGTTATTCACGTGAGTATCGTCTACATCCTGAGAAAAATGACATTTTTTACTAGTGTATCAGTTTGAAACAACTTGATGAACATATTCAATAACGTATCTTAACACAGCTCGATTTAACTAGATCATAACTTTAATAATACTTTTGAGAACCTTTGTGGTATCTACAGGCTCAAATTCCTTCAAGGATGGAAGCCTGTTGCCTTTCTGGTAATGTACGCTAAACCTATGACTGTGAATACCAATCAACTAAGTGTATCTAAGAACCAGAAGAACTCATACTTTAAAATAAAAGTGAATATAAAGCGACATGTTCCTAGCTCAACATCACACCTCTCTCCCCTAATGGCAGGGACACTCTAAAATTGCTTTCTATGGCAATGAGTGACGTCACATTACACTCCTCTTTAACAATGGTTGTTGTTTGAGAGAATAAATATTTTTTTACTGTGAGTAACTTTTTGTGTAAAGCTCATCCAAGGTCCGGCATGGCCAGGTAGTTAGGGCGCCCGACCCTAAATCTGAGGGTCGCGGGTTCGAATCTCCGCCCTACAAACATGATTGCCCTTTCAGCCATGGGGATGTTATAATGTGACGGTCAATCTCACTATTCTTTGGTAAAAGAGTAGCCCAAGAGTTAACGGTGGGTGGTGATGAATAGCTGCCTTCCGTCTAGTCTTGCACTGCTAAATTAGGGACGGCTAGCGCAGATAGCCCTCGTATAGCTTTGCGCGAATTTCAAAAAACAAAAAAACAAGATCATCCAAAGAGAGAGAAAATCATATTTTTGATCCGCAATATATTTCCTTTTAACTCCAATTATCTCATATTTCCTATCCACGTACTCGATGAAAAATTAATTAAAAGTGAATATAACACTACAGTAAAGCTCAAAATATGCTCAATGACTGTCATATTAATATGTGTTTACTAACCTTGTAACAGTGTTTTAGGGGTGATTGTTGGGGAGAGTGGATAAATTGACCTCTTTATAATTTGGGTGATGTCATTATATGCACAGAGTGAGTGCAAAATTTTAAAGAAGTAAGTAATCGCCATATTCATCAAAGAGAAGTGGATAAACTCGACTACAACGCTATTGTGCGAGCTAATACATCAATATCTATTTAATTTAAATTATTATATGCTATTGAGCATAAGTAAATAAAACATCAGCAATGTCAATAAGTCATTTGAAGTAGCTGCTATAGATATGTCTAGGAATATTTAACTCTACTTCAACATACAACTGTATTTAAAAATAGGTTAACTATCTACTCGTAAATATAGCTTGATCTTCATGTACCGTTTTTAAAACACGTGTTTTCAATTGTTATTATCATAGTTATTATATTTTTGATGGTATGTTCGTTTTAATGCAAAGTTATCCAAAGCTAACCCCGAATTTTTAGCACTATAAGTCCTCAAGTGTTCTGTTCAGTCTTCCGGGGACTGTTTGAAATTTAGTTAAATTTTCTATTATATCACAGTTTCTAAGATTTGGCCAAGCTGATGAAGAGACTTATAAGATCCTACAGATGCTACTTTGTTATTTTTGATAGGTTTTTTAATCAAATGACAGCACCAAACAATTCAAAATAAAACATGACTTTGTATTTCTAATTGGAGACATCTCATTTCAGCAATTTATTTTACAACTGATTTTCATATCTTTTTGTTTATTTGTAGCTAAGCACAGAGCTACATAATGAACTATTTGTGCTGTGTCCATTATGGGTATCGAAACACGGTTTTTAGCATTATAAGCATTCAGCTTTACGCTGTGTCGTTGGGGGGTATATGTTATAGAAAGAAGTATTATTAAATACAGAGTATCTGAATACTAATGACAATATATTTTTAATTTAAATTTCACTTTTTAAACTAACCCATCAAGATACCTTTTACAATCCTTATTTTCGAACTTATTGTAAAGCCCCCCAATGGCACAGCGATACGTTTGCTGACTTAACATAACATAGCATAACATAATGTTTTGGGATAACATGGGACCTATTGGTCCATCTCGGCTGTTCCATCCTCTAAACTAAGTTAAAATGATTAAAAAATGAAATAAATAAAAAAATCTTAAAGCCAACCCTTTTCATTCATATACTTATCAAGCTTTTCTTAAACTCACTTGAATTTACTGCCTCTACAACACCTGAAGGCAACTAATTCCAAACGCCAACCTTCCTGTTAGAAAAATGAAACTGTCTTAGCTGAAGATGACTCCTACCTTGCCAAAATTTATATTTGTGGCTTCTAGTCTTACTATTCTCATTGTTAAATATAAAAAAGATGATGCAACAACACTACCAATTCCATTTACAATCTTAAACACCTCAATCAGATCCCCCCTAACTCTTCTTTTTTCAAGAGGAAACAATTTGAGAGATTTCAGCCTTTTCTCGTATGACAACCCCTCCATCCCAGGCACCATTCTAGTAACTCTTCTCTGAACTCTTTCCAACAATTCAATGTCTTTCCTAAGGTAAGGAGCCCAAGACTGAACACAATATTCCAAATGTGGCCTGACCAGTGACCAATAAAATGATAACCTCTTTAGACTTGTATTCAATATTTCTATAGATACAACCTAAAATCCAATTTGCCCTACCATTAGAAACAGCACACTGATTGGATGGCCTTAGAGACTGATCGACTATTACACTAAGATTAATTTTCTTCATAACTCTATTAAGGTTATTCCCATTCAAATTATACTTATTATTCA